CCCCAGAACCCCAAAACCCCAAAACCCCAAAACCCCAAAACCCCAAAACCCCTTAAGTCAGAAGTATACTCTTAATAGAAAAATAAAAGTTCGAATTTCATTAATATATAAATAATTTTAGTGAATATCTCTGGATAAAGATGAAGAACATGAAATATAAGGACTTAGACTCTCAAAAACAAGCTCTTTTAGATGAAGTAACTCTATTAATCATAATAAATCTATCAGCACTTTTTATGCAAAACCATAATTTTGACAGAGAATTACTATGAAGTGTTAGGTGTGCAGTATTATGCAACTAGAGATCAAATCGTTAAAGCCTACAAGAATGTAACCATTTCGCAATCCCTTAGATCCATTGATATAGATAGCTCTCAAGCTTCATCCAGATAAGAATAGATCACCAATTTCAACAGATGCGTTTAACAAACTTAACCAGGTGTATAGATGTTTGTCCAACCAATACAAGAGGTCGTAATATGATAAATATTGTGTTGATCCAGATGATGAGATTAAGATGTAATTAAGAGATTGAAATTTCAACAAATTTTAGGGATTCTTCTGATGAAAAAGATAAGGATGATGAGGTAATAGACACTATGGGATTAGCGAATAAAAAGCATGATATCTACAACATATTCTATGGAGAAAACTACAGGAAAAAGAAAACCAAAGATGGACCTATTAGAAGATACATAGGCAAAATGAAAGCAATTGAATGGAAATAAGATGATTCTAAGCAATTGTCTAGAGTATATGATGAGAATAAAGTAGTCAATATCATTAAGAATAGCTATGGTGAGAAGTATATTTTCGTACAGGATGCTATCCCAGAGTAAAAGGTAGTAAACTTTCAAAATGCTTAATAAACTTATGTTTAGAATATTGAGAAGCATCTTAGTATACCAGAGAAAATACTATCTATCTTAATCGATATAAGGTAGAAGTAGAATTACTACTTGATAGTCAAAATGATGATTATCTGCATAGCTCTATTTTTCACTCTCAAGGTATAATTTTTATAAGTATCATTCACTTCTTTCAAAGATGCTAAGTGATCCAGTCATTTTCAGATACAGATTAGAAAAAGCAGGCTACTTCCAGCATGAATTTGTGAGTCCCAAGCTAGGCTTAACCTACTATATTGATAATGAAAGCCTAGTGACACTTTAATCAAAAAAAGAAGCTTACAATTAAGTAAGATAATTATAAATTCAAGCTTTTATTATCAGAAAGTAAACTAAATGGAGAAAACTATAGTTGTTTAATAAAAATTCTCATGTGAAATCTCCAAGGAAAAGATATAAGCTTTGTAAGATATGAAATACTAATAGGAAAATCCATATGAGGGAGAAGAGAAATATCCACCTTACAATGGCAGAAATTTCACCCAAGAAATAGAAGAACAGACGAGAGTGTCTGAATAAAAATGCAAAGTATACCAAGATTACAAGGTAATTTAAGCTATTATTACAGTTATTTCTTAGTTAAAATTGAATTGAGAAAGACAGAAGACAAAATGACCCTGAGAGAAAGAATATTTTATTGGAATTGATAACATATTTAATTTAATTATCAAGTTTCACAATATATGTTGAAGATTATTGTCCGGGGTTTTGGGGTTTTGGGGTTTTGGGGTTTTGGGG